TTCTGTCTACTCTGCCTATCTAAGTTCTGCCCTATCAAAAGGCCAAGGCAGTTTCTTTAATAACCAATGAAAGCAACACAAATACAGAAGAACCTCCTACACCACATGGTGTCTCAAATAGGCAGAGCCTTAGAGATCATTTTATGCCAAATTTGCACTGATTGTACATGTGCATACAAGTCACCGTCTGTTTTCTGACTGGATATTCCCACGAAGGATGGTGAGTTCTCACCAATGTCAGCTCTCTGACTGGACACTCCCACAAAGGATGGTGAATCCTCACCACTTCACTGAGTGGACTGTTCAGTGCATCTCAGTACCAGCAGAGGCTTTTATATGTGACTGGGCCTCTGAACTTAAAACTGGGCTTCCTAGTCAAGCACTTCATTCCAACCAAGATTTCAAGCTACTGACCACGAACCATAGGCCTAGAGTAAGACTGTCTATTGGTTCTGACTTAGAAAATTATTAAGTTCAAAATAGGAGAACATCCATATTCAGTGAAGATATATTCTCAAATGTGAAATAAATTCATGGTTATTCTGATCAAGAAGAACAGTAAATGGGTTGCTATTAAATGGTGGATAGAGTCTCCCCCAGAGTTTGTCTTCCTTATAGCAGAGCTTTCTGTTTGTTTAACATCCCCAGAAGTAGAAGGTGAAAATGCTGGTCCAAGGAGGCTGGGAACTTAAGGAGCTGGGCTCGGGGGCCTTCTGTGGGGTTACTTTTAGACAGTTACTTTTCTCGTCCAGCCTCAGCATACTTTGTGTGCATTTCCTATTATTTTACTAGTTCTGTCTGAAGCAGAAATTCTACATTAAAAATGGAGAATGGGTACCTGCTTTAATCCTACTCAGGAGGCAGAGGCAGCTGGATCTTTGTGAGTTTGAGGCCTAGACTGGTCTAAATAGCAAGCTCCAGACCAGGCAGGGCTGCACAATGAGACTTGTCTCAAACATCTCTCTCTCTCATACACACACGAGGGTTGGGGGAACAAATTGGGGGCCAATGAGGTGGCTCATTGGTAGAGGCACTTGCCACTAAGCCTGACAGCCTGAGTTCCACACCAGAACCAATATGGTAGTAGGAAAGAACCAACTGTGAAAAATGCTCTCTGACTTCTACGCGTGTTCTTTGGTATGTACATGGCACGACAGTGTGAAAAAATAAATGTAATTAAGAACTGTGATTGGTACTTCAGCCCCACCCACATTATAAACAAGAGTTTGCAAAGCTGTTGGGGAAATCAGAAGAGTAGAGAGAATGGCCCAGGCCACACTGTATGAACAGGCCAGAGCATGGTGTATCTGACCTTCTGGGATGCCCAAGGCAAATGAGAAGGCAGAGTCTGTACAAGAACCCTATCCTAGAAATGAGGGGCAGCAGCGGAAGGAGAAGAAGCCAGCCGACAGGCATGAGGGGGTAGAGTGATACCTAATTCTCCCCATGGTAGACTGTAAAAGTCAGTATTCCTCAAAACTTATAGCTAGGCTATATTTCACGTGTGGTGGGGCAAGATGACACACGGGTCTTAGATAGTCCTGATTATTCTCTGGAAGTGGTGGAGGGCTGGAGCAGTCAGGATCGAAAGGAATGGAACCTTCTGGAGCTCCTTTGGAAGACTAACAGTGTCGCAGCGCAGCGCAGGCTCTGGGAGGACCACTGCGAGGATCAGTTGGCACGACTGGTCAGTGTGCCGAATGGAAGAGGGTCCCGTGGGAAAGAGCTGCAGGCCTAGTCTGAGAGGCCCAGGTCAGGACTTGTCTCCCTGTTAGCAGCCCAGCAGCAGGGATGTCTCTGGGTTCTTTTTTTAACCTGGGCACCTACATGAACCAAGAGGCCCAAGAACCAAAGGCAGGTTTGGCACAACCAGCTCCCCTCCCCCCCAAAACTCCTGCAATCCTCTAAAACTTTAAGGGGAGGAGCAACACTTTGCCTAATCACAATAACGTCCCTTGAGCTGTCAGACATCCTTACAGACTGTGGGGAAACCCTTCACCTTTCCTTAGATCTGGCACCTCACCTCACAGCAACAGGGCCCAGGCTGATCACTGGTCACTCATGGTTCCCCTGCAGGTCACAACCCTGCCACATGTGATCACCAAGTTCAGTAGGCTAACAGGATGGAGCTGGCCAATATAAATCTCCTGGATTTGGTTTGGTCTTTGGTGCCAAGGAACACACAGCTGATTAAGCCAGCACACAGATGTTCTGAAAGCATGTGGTTGTTTCTTGCCTATTTATTCCTTCCTCAAGCCAGCACTCAGACGACCCGGTCAGGTCATTGTGGAGACAGGGAAACTGCTTATGGTTCTGAGCACGGAGCTGCCCCTGCAAACAGTCTCAGGATGGCTGGCGTGCCGACCTGTGACAGCAGTTTCATACAGCTGTGGCCTTGCTGCCTCCTAGGTGGTGATACAAAGGGATGGGAAGAGAGGGACAAAGGGCAAGGCAGAAGAATGTCTGGTGTTTGCAGACTCCGTGGGAAGAGCTGCAGGGGAAGCCTCCCAAGGGCTCTTGTGGGGCAGTGACCTGCTGAGGCCTCGCCAGAGATCTGCACAGGGGATGGTGTGTGTGCGTGCGGCTTCATTTAGGACACTGAGCTGACTGGGATGGAGAGCCCAACTCATTTTTCAAACAGCGAGACAAAAAAACAAAACAAAACCTTATTATGTCTCTCACGCTTGCTTATCCTATGTTTTCCTATTGGGGTTTAAAATTATGGAAAAATGTGAATGGACAAGGAGGCATCAAAAGAAGAAAAATACTTACAAGGAGAGTTGCTATCATAGGCACCATGCCGGGCGAGGTACTGAGTACACAAGGTAACAGTTTCCAGTCACAGAGAGGAGAGGTGATGCAGTGTAAACAGGCAAGCAGATATTCCCAAATGACAGCTCTTCTTGCAAACTCTGTGCCTGAGAACCTCTTGGTCTCAGCGTGTTGTAGACAGTGCCCTTTCTATCCACTGCTCAGCCAACACTTAGAGTTCTCTGCCTAACATCTTCTGGATTCTAGCCTCAGAGCTTTGTTTATCCAGACGGGGATGGGCAGGATGAGCTGCATCTGGGACACTGTCCCAGCGGACCCATGGTCCTAAGTATGTTCCACCTCCCTGGAGGAGGCTATTAGGGACCCATCTGTGTGACACTAGATATATATGTTCTTCCGTCTTAGCTGTTTGGATGCTGGCTTATACTGGGTCTCCACCATTACACTCTGCTGAGGTGTCTTGAATCTTATTTATCTTCCTTTCCATGCTGCTTAATACAAGGATGCATGATCAATACCTAGTATTGCATGGGGGAGCCTGCTGGTTCTCCCATTCTTGTACTTAGGGATCAACATGGCACAGTGATAGCCAAGTGCACTGTCAAAATAGATAAGAAACAAACCGCATCCACAGCAGGGTGACAATCACTCCCTGGACAGACTGCATCCTCAGCAGGGTGACAATCACTCACTGGACAGACTGCATCCACAGCAGGGTGACAATCACGCACTGGACAGACCGCATCCTCAGCAGGGTGACAATCACTCACTGGAC